AAAATTAAATTTTTTTTTTTTTTTTTTTTTTTTTTTTTTTTTTTTTTTTTTTTTTTTCTTTTTGTGTATAAGATTTTATAGGAGGCTCATGATGTAGATGTAGTAAATCAATGTCAATTGTTCAGTCGGTGCCTCATCTTACAAAGTGTTGTCCATACTGTAGGGAATGTAAACAACGACTCGTTTACATTTCCTACAGTATGCATGGGGAAAAATGTGAAGTCAGATGATAACTGATGTCCTGTTCTACCCCCCCCCCTTCTTTCCCACTGAAGACCCAACCTTACTTAGCTGTGACTGCTTATTCAATCAATCAATCGATTTATTTGTTCCAAGAATCCATATTTGGCGACACAACCTATGGATATAGAACAAGTCAATAACTACATATTAATATAACATACATATCTTACATGACTCAACCCTACAATAAAACTCAACTACCCACAGATTTGATACACATCACAATCATACAATACATCATCCCACTTGCAACAGTTCGATAACCAAAAGAAACCCTGTATCCTAAATTTATATATTTTTAAGCCATCAGATATAGAACACGTCACAATATATATATTACATATTCCATATATTCACAACTATCTTTCACGTGCAGAGGCCATATGCTTCATCCACAATGTGTCATGCTGTGACAACAAAGAACTCACTTAACATGTAAACACAGACAGGGAATAAATATTGAACAACATAGTATCTTGCTGGTTTGTTCATGTGACTCGTCATGACTCTAATACTGTTCTGAATACGATGTCCACTTTCTCCTATACATGGTACATATGAGAAAGTAATGAGAAGGTGAAAACAACTAGGCTTACTTTTTAAGAGATTTACATCTTTTCAGAAACCCTACATGTGAAAAAATGGGTTTGGGAATGCCATCTGTCTCTATGGATGTCTCCTCATTCGCTCCTGAATGGTTGGATGCATTTTATTCATATTCAGTACTGAAGAGTTCATCCATTACAGGTCAGTGCTTGGTGAATATGAACATTCTAGCTCCAAAACGAGAGGCTCTTCACATGGGCACCAAACATCAAAATGGTGAATTTCTCGAAAATGGCTCCAACAGTTCTGATTCAATTTCGGTATTTTTTTTAGAAAATCACCCTAAATGAAACTGCAAAGGTGAAATCTTCTTGAAAATAACATTAAATGCACTAGAGACCCAAAAATTATGCACCACATACATGTCCTACCTTGTACAATCAGCAACCAAAAATGATCTATTGTGCAACAGTTGATCACATTTCCACAATAAAGTAGTACAGGGCAATCATGTATGAGGAAGTATGTGCTACATCTTTGCACCAATTTTTAAACTTACATGTCTCGGTTCTAGACTGTCATCAAGTCCAAGTCCACGAATATGAGAATGAGCACCAATTCGCTCAATCCTTGTGATTTCTCTCACTTCTTGTACTCTGGCTGCTGCAGCTGCCTGTAAATATACAAAAACAATGTACATGTACTCCATGGCAGGAAAATTTCTTGGGTAGTTAATATTCACTCAGTTGATCATAAAACTCTGTTATGGAAGTCAGATATTCATAACCACTATCACAAAAGCCAACCATTATACTCTAACTTGAGCTAATTTAACCCAATACAAGTCTTCACAACCTATTTCTCAAAAATGAACTTTAGGTTCCAACATGCAACTCCCCATTAAGTTTTATAACCAAAAATGTTGTGTGCATTTAATACATACCACAACAGAAACTTACTCCTAACAATTCATCACATAGGGAAGGTAGTAGGAATATGTCAAGATGCTCTCTAAGGACTTGTATTATGCTTAACCCCCCTCCCCATGGACACACACACACATACACACACAGATAAACCCATATTTAATGTTCTTTGATTTAAGATTTCTCCTCATTTAATGTTCAATTCCATGGATTCCTTGTCCATAATTTCAATGTCAAATTTCTTCCAATTAACATTTTCCTCAGTTATGTGTTCAAATCCACTGTTCCCTGTAGAAACCTTAAATGAGGGTTTCAGTGTTAACTGTATTATTACATTAATCATGGGTGTCTCTAAAACATGTTCACAAGAAACTTACAACCAAACTGTAAGTAAAAAAAAAAGTAAAAGTAAAGTAAAGCTATCCCTGTAACAGGCTGTTAAGGCCATAGGGTTGTGAGATGTTGAGGGTCCCACATTATCTAGACAATCAGCTCAAAGATGGCAGTAAGGTTGTCAGCCTTACGTGCCTGCCGCGCTTTACTCTCCTGCAAAATATTTCATTAATTCCTGGTACTCATTTCTGTTAGAGGCTGAGTTGACCCCAGGGTCATAGTGCGGCTGGAAGGATTAGATCAACTGAAAAAATCCAATGACCTCATCGGGACTTGAACCCGCGACCTTCCAGCTTGTAGCAGAGCCCCTCAACCAACCAAACTGTAACAAGGAAAAATAAAAAACACATTAATTATTATTTTTTACATCATTAATCTAACTTCATGAAGCAGAGTCCTTCTTACAAACAGTTGCTCAGCCGGTCAAGAAATTTCCAGCATTCTATGTAATCTGAAGGTTCAGTAAAATGTACACAAGAGCACACCACTGGTTCGTACCCTGGGCCTAATGAATTCCATTCACACCTTCCAATTCTCTTTTCTTATGGTCCATTTTAAAATTATCCTCCCATCTATGCCTTGTCTACCACATCCCCCATCCACCTAATTCTCTTTTTACTTGGTCATCCTAATTATGAATACTTGGCAGGAAGTACAAATTATGAAGCTCATTATGCACTTTCTACAGAACCCTGCTATTTCCTCCCTCTTAGGTCCAAATGTTCTCAGCACCTTATTCTCCAGTATCCCCCTGCTTATGATCTTCCCTTAATGTGAGGGACCAAGTTTCACAACCATACAGAACAACATTCTACCTTTGTATATTTTAATCTTCACAGTTTTCTTACTATTCAATAAATATACATTATTAAATCCGTAATAGTCATGGAATGAGATGAATTTACGCTTAAAAGACACATGCTGTAAATCACAAAAAGGGAAAACAGGGAAGAGGTTTGCATCTTTTTAAACATATTAAGTGACAAATCTATGACTAAGACACTTGGTGTCCCTAAAATATGTCACAGAAAACTTCTTACGAACCATAAGACTACAAATGAAGTAAACAAGTGTTTTTCATTTATCCATTTCATAATAAGTAATTAAATAAAAACGAGAGACAGAAATAAAATGTTGAATTTGTAATACCAGCCATTGAGCAGGTAAATATATGTTCCCCAAAAGAATTATGCTTAGTTAAGCAAAGAGGCAACTTTTACATATCGAGAACACATGGGAAGGCCTGAATTCAAATTTCTCTGGAAATAAATGCATATTAATTGCATTTACATCATTATATGAAAGTGCCAGTAGGAGGGCTAACACCTCTGCATTTAAACATTTACATAAACTATGCTAAATAAACTTAAGGAATAATAACGTGCAACTACTCACGGCCATTCCTTCGGATTTTGCGGCTTGTTTACCAAGGTGACCAACACAATCCACAAATTTTCGAAACAGTGCGCAATCAACAAAGGTTACGTTATTCAAAGAACCCTTCAGATCCACAAAATCCTTCCAGATACATTAAATACATTCTAGGCACAAAAACTACAATAACGCCAGTAATCAGTTATTAGTATTTACACAGAACTCACAGGAAACTATTACTGTATTCCTACTAAGACAATCTTCGTTTCGATGGTTGGTTCCCTGCAGATCCGCAACCGGTAGGCAGTACTACCAACGCGGAACGTTGATTATAAGAAATTATAAATGTGCTGTAAATAATGATTGGTAGAACAATCGTCTTGTCCAATGGATAAATGTCCAGAAACACAATAATTCTACTATTATACCATCGCCACAAACTTTTAGATCTTATTAAGAGTATGGTCTTTGTTGACAATCACTAGCCAATAAGCTAGTCAATATTTTTTTTTTTAATTCCCATAGTGGGGGTGGAATCCAGCTGGTTGAGCAGTGTCCACTCGGCAAGACCGCCACTTATCGGCCAATTGTACATGCCCCGGGTAATTTGGTGGAATGAAGATTGGCTGGGGAAACCGAAGTACTTGGAGAAAATTTGCCCCAGCGCCACTTTGTCCGCCACAAATCCCACTTGATCGAACGCAGGTCGGCGCGGTGGGAAGCCAGCGACTAACCGCTTGAGTTACGGCGCGGCCTCTAGTTAAGAATTTAACTGTTCTGTGAGCAACGCAGTGGTTCATAATCATCTTCACCCTAAAAGACCACTGCTAGCCCAATTTGAACCAGATGAACACATGTAAGATTTGAGGCTTTCACGGCGGTGACTATGAAGAAAGCAGTCTTCTGGGATTTGGCGCCGTGTATATGTGGTGTTAACCGACGTTTCGGAGGAACGTATCGCCCCCATCTTCAGGGTTGAAGAAAAAGTATAGGTAAATCTGCAAGCGACAACACCGTGAGACACGGTAAAGCAGTCTGCTTGCAGATTTACCTATACTTTTTCTTCAACCCTGAAGATGGGGGCGATACGTTCCTCCGAAACGTCGGTTAACACCACATATACACGGCGCCAAATCCCAGAAGACTGCTTTCTTCATAGTCACCGCCGTGAAAGCCTCAAATCTTACATGTGTTCATCTGGNAGCAGTCTTCTGGGATTTGGCACCATGTATAAGCGGTGTTAACCGACGTTTCGGAGGAACGTCGGTTAACACCACTTATACACGGTGCCAAATCCCAGAAGACTGCTTTCTTCATAGTCACCGCCGTGAAAGCCTCAAATCTTACACTATAAAAGTTGTCCATTTTGCTCAACATTCTCCAGAAATGTATTCCACCTTCTTCCATGATACGAGGTGAAGGTAAAAGAGGAAAGCTATCCTGTAACAGACTGTGCAGGCCCACAGGGTTAGGAGACGTTGAGGCTCTCACATTTTCTAGATAGTTGGCACACAGATGGCAGTGAGGTTGTCAGCCTTACATGCCAGCCGCCCTTTACCCCCATGAAGATTCTTGATACTTATTTCTATTAGAGGCTGAGTCAACCCCAGGACCATAGTGTCACTGGAAAGATCAGGACAATTGAAAAATCCAATAACCTCATCGGGAATTGAACCCATGACTTTCCAGCTTGTGGTGTAGTGCCTCAAACAACTACGCTACCGCATGCTTCCATTATAGAAGATGATAAATATTTCTGTAAAACAAACTTGGAAAACTGAACTAAGTTCTGCTCTGCAAGCATTCAACACAATACTAGTCTGTTTCTTTATAATATTGTATTGTTGAATCACCAACAACTATTGATACACAAATTACAGTGTTTCATTCCATTGCCAGTTTCAGAACTGAAAACAGTGTATTGCTTCTCTAGCAAGATGTATGTTAAAAAGCCTGGGCTTGCCTTTTGATGATATAAAATTATTTGTGACTTGAATGTACAAAAACTTGTGGTGGCTAGCATGTGTATGTCAAATTTATGAATTAAGTAGTGAAGGAGATATTTTTGCATCCACCAGATCCAATAAATCATCTTTGTTACCTTTCAAAACCATATATGTAGTATATGATTGATGGCCTTAAACTGTTGAGATAGCAGATGAAATTCTGTAACCACTCTGGACCATGAGACTTGACCACAAATGTATCCAGTATGGCTTAATTGTTACTTTGGGTTAATGATCCAATACTGCTTATGCATTTACTCTTTTCATTTTTAAAACTAAGTTCATGGTATCAATTAATATTTTGTGCAGTATTCTGTATTAGGATTTACACCTAAGTAAAGCTATTGTAACCTCAATAAATAATTTAAAAACAAGGCAAGAAAGAATGTGAAAGGAAGTGGTTATAGCCTAATTTGAGGTGCTGTCCTAGCATATGACTGGCTGGACTGAGGAACATCTTGAAAAAACTGTCAGGATAACTAGTGTCCTGACAGATTTGAATTAGTCACCTCCTGAATGCTAGTCAGAAGTGTTACTGAGTAAATCTGCTTGGTGTCATAGAAAAAGGGAGCAATTTTGAAAAATAAAAAATATAGAAGTCAAGAAATCTTAACTGAATAATTCAAATTATTTCACTGTACAAGGCATGTTACTTTGGGATAGGTGCTGCTTTTTCTCGTGTGGATATGATGCCTAAAATCATGTACATATTTTTATTTCACATATCTGTAGTGATCAAAGAATATGTGTTTTGCAAATGTTTGATCCTACAAATGTAGTATTCCACAGGATCAGATGAATGATGTATCCATGAGTACTTACGTGACATCTTAATTAGGCAATACATTTTATGAATTTTATTTTACCATCAACAAGTATGATACAAGAGTTCTGCATCTTTCCACCTTGATTAGATTAATTTCTTTTGGAAATTCTAGTACATAATTGCACTATATTGGTTGTACGCCCTGTTTACTATATCTTACATTAATAACAAAACGTTTTGGTATGTGCTTGATTTATTTTATATGCAAAGTGTGAAGTGTTTTAACTTTTTTCTTTTTTTGGAAATACTTATGGCTTACATGGACAAACCTACATTTTGTCTAACTGTATAAATATGAACAGTGCCATGTACATGTTGTTGACACAATCTTAGATACTAATGACTAGAAAGGCAGCAAGCTCTCCTTTAGTTACATTTTCTTTATTTGATAAATTTATTTTAGGAGCTTCAAGTAATAAAGATATTGCACTGATGTCTTCAAACAGGCATTGTTTTCTTGTCTATCGATTAAACTGTGCCTGTATGATTTTTATAGCTTTTTTTCAACTTGAGTTAATCTTGGGAAACAACCTTATCCATGGGTATCATAATAGTGTCACTGTAATATATTGAATCTTTTCTATGTGGCATGAGAATATTCAGTTCCATGCTCATGGATTTTGGTGTTTACAAACACCTTCATTACATCACAAAGTGAGGTGCAGATTGCAGTTACACCATACAATAACAGTTGTCTTGTAACATGTTCAGGAACAAGGAATGAGAACTGTCATAATTTTTTATATGCAGCTTCAACACAAAGAAGCTTTTTGCACTTAACACAGCCATTCCCTCAGAATGATGTTGGTAATTTAGTTACTTTGTGTTGCTGTTTCAGCTGCTGAGGTTATATAAGGTTGAATGAAAAGTGGCAAGATACTTGTGATGAATGGGAAGGGATCCAGGAGGATGTGTTCATGGTCTATTTTGAACTATGAACACATTACCTGTCCAAGTGACTTCAGAAAATTGTGAAGTTAGTTAGGATAGCCAGTTCCCGTCTGGAATATGAAATGGATATAGTGTGACCACACATTAGATCCGTTAACATTGCTGTCTATTATAAGAGAGGTGAGAGAAATGAGACAGGTATGAAGAACAGGAGGGGAAAGTGAGAGGTGGTCCTGAAAGTATGAAAAATAAAGGTGGTAGAGGTTAGTGAGAAGAAAAGGTAGAATGAGAATCAGGAAAGTGAAAAGGGAAATATGCTAGTGTCAAGGAAAATAGACGGGAAGAGAGTCATAGGTCACATGTTATACAAGTTTACAGAAAGAGAGGTGAAGCACTAAGTGTGTGTTTTATATTAAGTTTAACTTTGTTATTTAACTATGCTGTCGGTATCAAGATTACACAGGGCCATTTATAGGATGATTAATGGAGCAGCTGGTGGAATGAGAATTGGCAGGGGAAACCAAAGTACCATGAGAGAACCTGCATGTGTGATGGGAGTGATAGAAAGATGTGGGGGGGGGGGGGAAAGGGGTTAAAGAGATTAAACAGAAGAAGATGGACAAGTAGAAAGCACAGGGGCAGATGAAGAAAATGACGAAGAAATTTATCGGCAAGTAAATATGGTATTGACTTCCACAAGCTACAGGAAGGGTCCATATTGCCAAGCATATTTTCATTGATATTGAAAAAATATTAATGAATCTTACATACACTGGTTAGGACTGTTACTCGAGGTGCCTCACATTTCTGGCCAACTTTTTATTTTAACTTGAAATGGAGGTTGACAATTTCAAATGTGGCAATGGCATGCTGAGGTTATCTCTGACAACTGTCACTCACTCATGGAGCTGAGCCCTGCTTGAGAAGCTGCCAATTGTGTGGCTACTCAAGAACTTCCCAACATTTTATGGAACCCACAGGTTCATTACCATGTTCACAAGAGTCCTCCATTGGTCCACATCCTGAGCCAGATCAATCCAATCCATCCTATCCCTCTAAGAACCATTTTAATATTATTCTCCCACTTAAATATTGGCCTTTCTAGTGGTCTCTTTCCCACTGATATCATGTATGCATTGCTCTTCAGCGAATTTGTGCTACATGTCCTGCCCATCTCATCTGTCTTGAACTGATCATTCTAATTATATTTGGTGAAGAGTACAAGTTATTAAGCTCCTCATTATGTAGTTTCCTCCAACTTCCCATCACTTCATCTCTCTTCGGTTCAAATATTCTGACACCTGTCTGGTAGTTAGAATTGATATAAATCAAAATGGTATCCACTTCTGCAATCAGTCACACCATATTTTAAATAAAACGTTTGTAAAGGAAGTGAATATTAAAGGGTGCGATCCTGTGGGTTGTAACACTGTGTTGTTTAGTAGTCCACTATGTTTTGGAGGAACATACTGCCCCCATCTTCAGGGTTGATGAGTAAGTCAAGTACAAAAACAACAAGA